TTCTCTTCTCGTTCTTCTTGTTTCTTTTCTTTTCCTCCAACAACTGCTGTAATTTCTCTTCTCGTTCTTCTTGTTTCTTTTCTTTTCCTCCAACAAATGTTGTAATCTCTCTTCTTGTTTCTTTTCTTTTTCCTCTAACAACTGCTGTAATCTCTCTTCTTGTTTATTTTGTTGTTCGAGCTGCCACCGTTGCAGGTTTTTTTGCAACTGCTGTTGTCTCTCTTCTTGTTTCTTTTCTTTTTTCCTCCAACAGCTGCTGTAATTTCTCTTCTCGTTCTTCTTGTTTCTTTTCTTTTTCCTCCAACAACTGCTGTAATTTCTCTTCTCGTTCTTCTTGTTTCTTTTGCTGCTCTTGTATTGCTGCCATCAAATCTGCTAAGCTGTAGCTTGATTTGTTACACCTCCATTCGTTAGCTAATTTTCCGTAAAAAAAAATCTTTCTGAAGAAACTTTACCGATACAAGTCCTTTCTTAAATAAAACTGGTTTATTCTTTCTGAATACAACTTTTCTATACACTTAATTTCAACAGTCGTTCTATAACAAACGCTATAATTCACAACGTACTTGTCACGTGCTCAACAATATTCTCTCTGTCCGCAGTTCAATTACTCAATACATTATTCTCGTCACGTTGTGACCGTCTTATATATAAAAGAATACCCAGATCTAGTAAACTCCCGATATTTCAGGAAGGGACGTGAACGTTCGAGGAGCTTGTTGCGTGATACTATCGTCACGTGACCCCCGATGTCGTAACAGCGGTTTTATATACAAGAATACCGCAAATCTAGTAAACACTCGAGCACTCAAGAACCTTCCAGAATATCATGACGTGTTACTAGAGTCACGTGTCTTCCGCTGTCGTAACAATATTGTTACAGTTTAAATCTGTTTTTTCTAAGCTTCCGATTGAATACGAAAACTCGCTAAATGCTAATTTTTTTATTTTTTTTTGTAATTCGAATATTATGAACTAACTTTTTTGAGATATTTACGCTGATGATGGAATTTAAGGAAATTCCGAAACATCTTTTTTTAAAGATGTTTTTGGTATTACCGTATTTTTAATATTTATTATAAAACTTTGTTTTCCACCTGATAAGTATCATTTTATTAGAAGTTACAGCTTTTACAGAAAGGAAGGATATTTTAAAAACATGTACGACGTTTCAATCACTTGTGTGATCACTCTCAAGTACACGTTTTGAGAATGATCCCACCAGTGATAGATACGTGGTACTTGTTTTAAAAATATTCTTTCTTATTGTGAAAGTTGTAACTTGTATTAAAATAATACTTATAACCAATAAGTAAGCTGATAACGAAGTTGAAAGTATCGTTGAATTTTGGAATGTACCCTAGTCGCATGGTATCCAGTTTCCAGTTGAAACTGAAAGGACGATGCAATAGGAGGAAGAGGACAACATCGAACCTGACCCTTCAAGCCCAAGGTCTAAAAGACCCAAATTCCAGATAAGAGGAAGAAAGTATTTATGACTTAAAACGTGTACATAAACAAAATTACCTTCAGTGGTACAATACAGAAAAAATAGCATTAATATTACCTAAAATATCTTACTTAATACACGTAATTTACTAGTAAAATATAACTAGAGTAGATGGGTAGTATTTGGATTATTTTCTTGCATTCGTCATACGCATGCCCATTGCTGCCAAAGAAATGGAATTAGGAAGTACGGTTGCAGATCATACGGTATCGCTAGCAAGGAGGTGGACATATCTGGGTGTAAGGCATTTATCTGTGATAATTAAATTTCGGTTAACTTCGCTGTTATCATTCTTGGTCTAGTAAACAATACGCTTACGTATAAAAAAATTATGACAACTGTTTGGCTGTTGGGTGCAATACATACAGAATTATATTACGTGCGTTATATACATCATAATCCGTCGGCCATAACTTAAGTTAAGACTAAGTCGTAAGATGTTAAGTCAAGTAACTCACCAGAGTCACAGTCACGACTGGAGGATAAATATGGAGTTGAAACAAAGTTGTTGTTTTTCTGTGGTCGAAGGATAAGGTACAGATTTTTATCACGGGAAGCTTTTCTAGAGCATCATCACAATCATTAAAATAAAACTTCAAAGGGACTAAGGATGAGAAATGTTACAGTTAAAGTGGAATGCACTTTTTGTTTGTGGGGAGGGGGTATTAAAACTAATGAAAAATAATTAATATATAGTTGAATTTGCAAGTACTTGAAGTTGTTGAAACTGAAAGTTGCTGTAATCTCTGGTATTCGTTTCACAATTCTTCATAGGTGTTACTACGTGCAAGTTGTAAGGAATTGCAAATTTTAAATACTAGTGTAACTAGATGGATGCTGAGACTGAGATAGACTGACAATTTCGTTTTTATGTGTACATAAAAAAAAAGTATACTCTAAGACATTTTTCTGTTAACATTCCCATTACAATTATAAATACAAGTCACCATAAAATGATAAAAATCGTTTTGTATTAACATAAATTTTCCAAAATTTACAAATTAAATGCACTGAGTAACAATGTCATAAGTCTGGCTGATTCACCACTTTTTAAATATGGTATAATTAATGTTACATCTGATTTAAATGTAAAATAGTAAGCATAGTTATTTATAATTTTCTTATAAAGATTGTTTTGCACTGTAAGTTTAATATATACACATAAGACTAACCTAAGTCTGCTAAACTGGCCAAACCTCAAGATTATTATTGGGATTATGACAAAGTTGATTTTAATTTCACTTTAAATACAAAACTTGCTCTGAACAGAACTTAATATTAAATTCAATCTTAGAACTAACAAAATCTTTCAGTGTTTAAATGATACACAAGGTAGACATTTAATTTGAAGTATGCTTCTTTAATTTTTTGTTGTTGTAAATGGTTTATGGAAGTCTATGAGAACTTTATGGTTTAAATAAGTAAAAGTTGCATGTCTCTATTAAAAGATAAAATTTCTGTTGTAAATTTATTTATTAATAAATGTATAATTCTTGTCTGGGGACAATAAAACATTTGGCTAAATCATTCATTGCTTAATTTTGGATGTCGGGGGGGGGGGGGGGCAGCTGGCCCGGGGTTTGTTGAGGGGACCAAAAGTGGGATATTCCAAAGCTCACTAGAAATGCATACTACTTGAGCTAAAATGGCTACTGCTTTTTCATGTATTCATGAAAAAATTTGTCACCAAAATTTTTTTAATGAAAAATTTGCAAAGTTGATAAATAGAATGAAAGGGGGGCCCAATGATATTACTGACCCCGGGGCCTGGGCAGGCTCCTGATGCCCCTGGTTTAAAACTGTAAGTTACTTCTGCCTACTACAATTACATAATGGCACATTCCATTATATTAAATGTGCTTTCTGGTTCAATGGTAATAACCAGCTATCTTAAAAGGATGTTTATAGAAGTTTAATAGTATTAACCCTTTAAACACGAGCATATGAAATTACCATCCACTGAACTAGGGAAGGATATTTATGCAACAAAAATACAGTAACTGTGTGTTCCACACAAAACCTCAAGATTTTGTTAAAGTTTATAAGTATTTTGTACACAAAAAATGCAATTATTTTAATTAAGTCTTTCTAATGCTGTTTATTTATAGTAGTAATTTGCATTCAGACTGTTAAAATAGTTTGAGTACAAGGCAATTTTTATTTAAAGTATAGAAATACTTTTCTCCATCTTATAGTTTCCTATTTCATTTGCATAACCTCTAGAACCTCCTAAATAAATATCAAAAGTTTTTAAGGTAAATTTTTATATTTTCTTTTCTTTACCATATCGCTAACTCTAGCTATTATCATCAACATACAATGCAATGAAATGATTAAAATTAGGAAATAAAAAAAAATACCTTTTGATTTTTAGTAGAATATCTTAAAAGATGTTGTTATGCTTATTTTCATAATTTCATGTTTTTTCCTTTTCATATGTAGTTAATTTTTAATGTTTTATTTTCATTTCTTGCCCTTTACCACTTATTCATTTTGACACAAGTCAATGGTGCCCTTGAGGCATATTGCAGTTTCTTTGGGAGACATGAGGAACCATTCACAAAATTTCGCTCAGCTCATAATATCATAAGCTTTTAGAACAGATGTAAAGTATGATGTATGTTTAAAACATTTTAAACCTTTTAATTATGCATTTTAATATATAACTAATACGTAATTAACTAAAATATATTAATTAGACCTAAATACAATTTAAAATGTATCTCTAACTATAACATATTTATGTAAGAAACAACCATAAGTGCTATAGTCAGTCAAGCAGCCAACAATACCACAGTCAGTTACATGTACTTTCGTGATGACAACTGTGTGCCAATTTCAAAACAACCATTGTTAGTTTATAGTGTAAAATAATCTTTTTCTAATGGCTATACACGTGTGTATATAACATCTACATGTAGGCTATAAAGCTCAAGCCAATCTGTTGAAGGTGGGCATGGCAGCTGTCGGGGGTTGAAAAAATTTACTATATTCAACTGTATTCACTCAGAGAACTTTGAAATGAACGAGCCAAAAGGCTATATGAGCAACTTATTGTCTAGATGTACCTCTACTCTATTACCATTTTATTATTGAAGATACAGATAACCAAAGTAAATAATTTTCATAGTTCGTTGGCCACGTGACAATACATGTAAAGTTTAAGTAGTTTTTATATATTTTTTTTAATAAAGGTTTTAAAACTTAGATAACATAAAACTTTGAATCATAACATATGTTATAATGTTAATTTCATTCACATACACTGATAGTAAGGGTATATAATTAAATTTTGAATGTAACACAGTGAAAAATTTCATCTTGCTCAAGAGGAATTGTAATTTTTGCTGCAGCATACGAGCTCATAGAATGGCTCTAAGTTTGTTTGTTTTTTCAAGTACAAACTTTTAGCTCATAGCCTTTTACTGTGGCTGGGACATATATTTCCCAGTGCAATAAGTTAAGGGAGTGTAAGGAAAGGCTTTTTTTATTTTAAAATTTAGTTTAGTGGATGGGGTGGTCTAAATGGACCAATGGGTCCATTAATGTCCTTAAATTATTTGTTGTATATGTTAAATAAAAAATTTAGTTCTACTTTATAAAACATTATCATAGGCATCAAAGTTGTGAACAAGACAAAATGCCTATGGTTTGTTTATTATTGTCATCCCATGTAAAAAAAATAAATTGAGGTCATGTGATAAATGTGCACATATATACAAAACAGAAATAATTTTGCATGAACTTCTGAATGCGTTTTAGTTAACTGTTTTTAATTAGGTGACCTAAAACTCATGCAAGGTGCTATCATTTAGTGTTTGATTTCCAGTTTGTTTACTCTGATTAATCCTTTTGAGACGGGTCACAGGTGAAGGGCCATGTCATCTCGTTTGTTGACTCACATTCAAAATTTTATTGAACTACTATTTCCTGAATTTATGTCAATAAGTTTGGTATCAAACTGTAGATTATAATTCAAATTTTAGAACTATACTCAGTATTTTGTTTCATATCCTCCACGTGCAAAATTTTTAAAGGCTTAGCAACTTAGATCAAGCACCAACTGAGTACAAAGGTTGTAACTGGAAGAGATAATTGTTTGCTTTACTTCTTTATTTACTGTTCTATGTTTTAGGGAAAATATGTGTAAGAATGTATTTCAAAGTAGCAAAAATCTGTATAGATATATAATGCATAATAATTGAAATGTGACTGTATTTTACAAATTACTAGTCTACTAAAACACAGCCAAGACAAATTACTTTGTACAGACAAAAGGTCACTTTTATATTATTTGATCAGGTAACGTGAGTGCACGTAAGCCAGGCACAGGTGAAAGGTCAATATAAAAATAATAAATATATATTAATGTATAATGTTATGATATTTAAGCTATTTGGTCTAAACATATATGCTTTGTGTTATAATTTGTGTTCATTCTAGAATGAAAGATTGGTCAAATCTACCGAACCCGTACTGAGATTAATTACTGAAAATAACAGATAAAATATAAAGTTTTTTCTTAAGAAATGTTTGATACCTATCTGAAATTTCAAAATTTTCTGATGCATAAAAGTATTTTTAATGTTAGGATGAAAATTACTGTGCATGATAGGTAGCCAAGATGTGAAAAGAAAAAAAACATGTGAGAAACATTGCTTTACAAACCTTCAGACGTAATAAAAAAAATATATATCTTGTGTATGAAAGCATATTAATGTTTACTGATAAACTGCCCAATTTTGTTAACATTCACTTACTGATTTAAAAGCTATAACATGAATACTATGCTTTGTTCAAAGCCTTCCGAAAATCCAAGTATATCAAATCCTTTTAAACATAAGCAGTAACATCTGACTGTTTAACTTTGTTTGGAAGCTTTGCAAGTCATCTTTAATAAATCTCCAGAACTTTTGCCATCACAGAAGACTAACTGATGTATAATTACTTGAACAATGCTTGTTTTCTCTTTTAAAAATAAGTGCAACACTAACTAGTTTCCAGTCTACTGGCACTTGCCTACTACTCAAAATATTTATTAACCCTTTTGAGACAGGTCATAGGTGAAAGGCCATGTCATCTTGTTTGTTGACTCGTATTCAACATAAAAGTCCTGTAAAGAAAAATATCTCTGTGGGTGTGGTGGATAAGTTAACTCAATGAATTAAGGGTTTGTTAGAGGAGAAGAAGCAGAGGGTGGTAATAAATAAAGTTCAGTTAAACTGGAATTGAGTTGGAAGTGGTATATGGATCATTTGGTGAAATGGGTAATTAATATTGCAGAGGGCATTATATTATAATAAGTGCAAGGTAATGCTTATGGACTACCTTATTTAAAACAGTAACTACTACCTGGATGGAAATCAAATGGATAATGTTATGATAGAAAAGGATCTTCGTGTTTTGATTGGTTAATATCTTAAGCTTTTCAGGTAAAGGGTTGTTACCAGTGGAAAAATAAATAGGATTTTGGGTTGTATCTATAGAAATGTTAAATACAAGTCAAAGGATGTTATCATTTCCTTGTACATATCTCTAGTTAGGCCTCATTTAGAATATTGTGTTCAGTCTTGGGCTTCTTATTTTAAGAAGTACATTGAATTATTGAAATAGGTTTATTCAAGGGCTACTAAGATGATTCCTGGGATGAAGGTGCTGTCATATGAAAACAGGTTAAGGTCCATAAAATATTTTTGCTTGAGAAAAGAAGGATCTGATTGAAGTGTTCAAAATTATAAAGGGGATAGATAGAATTGATACATAATTTTTGTTTTTTTATGTTCAATGGTAAGAGTGATAGGACTAAAGGACATAGATTTAAAATTTGGCAGGGTAGGTGTTATTTGTAAGTTAGGCAATTGTATTTTAGAAACACAGTATTCAGCCTTCTGAATAGATTGTTTTTAGATGTGGTAGTTGCTACAGGATTGGGAAAGCTCATGAGATGGTTGAATTTAGACAACTGGGTGGTTGATGAAATGAATGTATAGTTATGATGGGCAAAATGGCCCCTTGTTGTCTTTCAGTTGTTATGAAAGAAAAAATGGTAGCTAATGGTTAAGTTAGAGAAACATTGGTAGTTAGTTTACATCACCCATGTTGCAATATTAAGAGACTACATTGAAAAATTAAGATTTTATATCTGCAATGAAGTATTGCAAATACCTTGCAGTTTATCATTTTTATTTAAGTTCCTATAAAAAACAATATAAATTTTTGTTTACAGTACAAAAAAATTAATAGTCTGTACAAGTTCTCTTTCAAGCTGTAATGTTTATTAAAACACTTACTTTCTTGTCTGGCATGATTTTGTCTTTCTGTTGGAAAATATTTTCAATTTTTTAAATATAATATTGAAAATTACCATATAACTACAAAACTAACAAATTTACTCTGTGTGTGTGTGTGTGTGTGTGTAGGTCAAGGAACCCATTCCACACCTCTTGATTTGATTTTATAACATAAATTTTATTATTATTATGAAATGTAGGTTTTCACTTCAGCATTTGTTATTTTTTAATTTGTACCATCAGGACCAAGTCAAAAATTTGTTTCTTAATATAACAAAATTGAAAGTTTATTCAATGAATTAATTAGTCTTTAATTTCAACATTTCATATACCAATATGTCTTTATTTCAGGTATGCCATTTTTGTGCTCCCAATCACCATTGTTTACAAGAATATTTATAAAACTATGAAAAAGCTAATATTGCAGTTGGTATTTGCTGTCTTGTTTTATAAAGTAGAATGTTTACAATGGAACATTCTTGTTTTTGGTGGCAATGGATTCATTGGATCTGAGTGTGTTAATGTTCTGAAGAAAGAACATAAAGTTACTCTTGTAAATCGTGGTACACTTTACTGGGATACAGAAAAGCGTATCTTACCTTACATAACTCAGATTTCTTGTGACAGAAATGTAGGACTAGAGAACTGTGCAAAATTCATGCAATATTTAGAACAAACAAGCAATATTGATTTTGTGATTGACTTTAGTGGGTACCATCCTGATATTATTCAGAATGCATGTAAAGTGCTACAAGGGAAGGTTGGTACTTATATCTATATCAGCTCAGATTCTGTATATGAAGTAATTATAAAGAACCATACCACTCCTTCAAAAGAAACAGATGCTGAAAGACCAAGTTCTATTAAAGAACAGGAACGACTCAACAGTTTAGATCCTTATGGTCATAGCAAGCTAGCTGGTGAAGAAATTCTAAGAAAGCAAAGGGATGAAGGAGGTTTCCCTTTCATCTTTTTGCGACTACCAGATGTCATTGGACCAAGAGACACTACTAAAAGATGGTGGACATACCAACTATGGCTTCAGTTAGTGAACTCAACTGGTAGACCTATTTTAATACCTGAAAAAGTTATGAGCATCACATCTAGTCTAGTCTTTGTGAAGGATGTGGCTAAGATCATGCCTAAGGTGTTCGAGTTAGCTGCTGAGAAAGATGCAGCTGTGTTGGACCATTCTTTTAACCTTGCCTTCTCTGAGCATTTTACAGTGCGAATGATCTTGGATAAAATGCAAGATATTCTTGGCCTGCGTGGTGTTGAGTATCAGTATGTTAAAAGTGAAGATACATTTGAGATATATTCTTCTGTATTCTCTTTTCACATATTCCCTTCTGTATTTCAAGGACCAGTGGATATCTCTTCTGCTGAAAAAGTTTTAGATTGGTCACCTACACCTTGGAATATTGCTGCTGTAGATACTATAAACTTTTATGTTCAAGCCTTCCATTGTTTTCCAGAAGAGAGAGATGTAATAGTTCATCGACTTCTAACCCATGTAGTTTCTCCATCTCATAGAGACATTTTCTTAGAAGCAGTTGAAAATATGACTAAAAAGGGTAAGTACATATGTGTATGAAGTTGGGCAGTAGTTATTTTGTCCATTTAGAGAACATAAATTATTACCTGTTCAAAATATTAACTTAAAGCAACTACAATAAGAAGAGTAATTTTACTTGAAATATTTGTATTCATTGTACATGTAGTCAAATTTGTTCTTGTAATGTTAATTCAGTAGATCTAGTAGTAATAGTGTGTACTCTTCCTAGTTGAATTAACATCTTAATTTGTTGATGATTGTACTATGTTTAAAATGAATGTAGTCATTAACATGGAAGTTTTTATTCAAATGAAACTAAACATCATTACATACATACAACCTTTTAAGCTTAAGAATAATTCATACTAACTGAAACTAATTTTGACAGCAACTGCTTGCCCCCATTAGATACTGTTGTTGACAATAAATAGGTAAATGATTATGGTCATGGGTATTGATTACCATCATTAAATTGAAGCTCTGTAAGGGTACTTTTTGATTTCCTATCGTCTAGCTTGACCAACTCTCTTGATCTTATATAATTCTCTAAGTTTCTCATCAATTTGTAATGTTTTGCTTTAATTTTATCCCTTATAGCCTTTGTGAGCCAACCTGATTTTTCACTTGCAGCCACCCTTTTTCTTTCAAGGAATACATTTATCTTGAATATTTAAGAAACATTTTCAACTCAGATGCCCAAATCACAACGTATAATTCTTGTCACATCCCTTCAAAATTTGCTCTTTTGAAATTTGTAACCAAAATCTCATTATTCCTGATCTCCATAAGAAGTAAAACATAACCTACTTGAACACTGATAATTTGCATACATAAGTTCCCTATTCTCCACTTTCTTAACCATTTATATATTGGAAGTTAACAATAAATCTAAAATAGCATTGTTCCTAGTAAGTTCCCTAACCAATTTGTGAAGAAAACCATTCTAAATGGTTTATAAAAACCTGCCTCCCTCATGGTTTGATTCTAACATTTCCCAAACTATATGTTTCAGATTAAAATCCACCATAATTATGGCTGAAATCTTAATCTCATTGTAGAGCTTCTCAGTTTCATCTGGTGGTCTGTAGCAAATTGTAACTGAAAGCCTTTTACCCCTATATTCACTAGCAGAAACCCAATTAAATTTAACCTTCTTGCTTTTATCTTTAATATCCTCAACTTAAAGAGGATGTTACTCACATTTTACATGTAAAGCTCCTCTTCTTTCTTTTAATATTCTATTAAATATCATTTTACCTCGTATATAAAAGAAATATCTTTCATCAAAATTGTCTACATTTAACCAAGTTTGAGTTATTTCCTTTATATGAAAATCATCTGTTTTAACTAATGCTCAAAAGTCTTTGTTGTTTTTTTCATTTTATTTCTCATAATTCTAGTATTACAATAGTAACAATTTAGTCTACCCTTACAACTATTCCTGTACTTTGTTTGTACACTACACTTTTCTCAATATTTTACTTTTTCTTCATTTAGTTTATCCTGGCTCTCACCACTCTCTAGATCTAGTTTAAGACTGTCCTTTCAAATAAAACAGCCCATACAGTATTTAATTGTAATTCATCCATTCCAAAAAGCTTTGTTTTCCTATCAAATTTATCCCACATATCTAACTAGCCATCTTGTTCATCCTTATATATTAATTAAAGTCAAGCATTCAGCCCTAATGACCTACATGATCTCTTCCTCGCAAATAAGTTTCAGCAGCAACTTTGACAGAATTAACTTATTATGGCCTTTTTAATAACTACCTGTTACGTCTCCGTTTGTTAATTAACTTTCCGTAACTTCGTTCCGACGAAACTTGCGACACAAGTTCTTTACTTA